TCACTCACTCACTCACTCACTCACACACTCACACACATTTTTCATTGTCATAACTACACTGTAGCTAATGTACAAATGACAATAAAAGCCTTGAATCTTCTTGCGTCAGAGGCTGTACAAAATGTGTTTACGTTCATTAGTAAATATGTTGTTGATGCTGTAAACCTGCCCTTATTGCCAAACGATCAGAAAGCAGACAGGATAAGCCCTATTCTGACATCTTCTCCATGTTCTCCTCAGCTCAGCAGAACAGAAGGAGAGATGGCTCTCCCTTCTCAAAAGGTAAACTCTGCCTCCATGCATAAACATAAAGTGTGTGTGTGTGTGTGTGTGTGTGTGTGTGTGTGTGTGTGTGTGTGTGTGTGTGTGTGTGTGTGTGTGTGTGTGTGTGTGTGTGTGTGTGTGTGTGTGTGTGTGTGTGTGTGTGTGTGTGTGGTGTGTGTGTGTGTGGTGTGTGTGTGTGTGTGTGTGTGTGTGTGTGTGTGTGTGTGTGTGTGTGTGTGTGTGTGAAGAGAGACGAGTAAAGCTTCCTCTCTGCTTCCTTTCCAGTCGGATAAAAGAAGAGAAGGAGAAGGAGGAACCTAAAACTATTCCTCTGAGGGTCTATGGGAAGGGGATCAATACTTTTGCTATTGTAAGTTTACCTTCTGTAATGTTAACAGGATGAATTGTACACACCAACACCATATTATTCTAAATCAAGCTTTCTATGATGTGATGTTTAAAGATTTTCTGTCTCTGTCACTTTTATTACTGATATCTGAAGTTACACCTCTTGCCTTGGTTTGTCCCGATGTCTTTCTATCCCAATTAGACCAAGACGCTTCCTGTCAGCAACTCAGATTCAACCAATGAGGTGATCCGCCTGGCCCTGCAGCAGTTTGGCATCATAGTGAGTGAAACACATATTTTAATTGGATTGTATTTCATGTGTTGTAACATATGCTCTGGCTGTTTGTGATCTGATGTAAACGGCTAAAAACTACTTAACGAAATGTATTGATCAGGTTAACTATAAGTATTAAGTAAGGTACTTATTTGAATGACCTGACACTGCTGCTGAAATATCTCCGTTTCTGATTACATACATTTTCATTATGTTAACCTGCAGGCGTTTATGTAATGAGGGCTTCCATTTTGTGTTGTATCTCCTAAAATTTCGAAAGATCTCGGTCCTGGTTTCCCTGATGTCTTTACAACATAATCATCCATGCCATACAACTCAGAACAACTAACGTTTTCACAGACGCCCTGTAGCCTATTTCCAGCTGCAAGTTGCATGTGATATGACCCCACAGCGTGTGAGATAATCCTATCCTAAAATGACCGACTGTGTGGTTTTAAAGGCATTGTTCTCCGAGTGTTTCTTTTCTGACCGTCTCTCTCTGTGTTTTGCTCAGGGAAATGTGAAAGACTTCCAGCTGTGGGTCATCTCCAAGAGGGACAACGCCCCCTATCCTCTGATAGGTCAGTAAGTCAAAGACCACTTTGAGTCTTCAGGTCATTTCTATTTAGCTTCTGCAGAGACAGTTTGAGAAGCTCTAAGCGCTGACACGTGGGTGAGATGTTTTTAGACACACTAGCACCATTCATTCGTGGAGAAGAGTGTGTGTTCTGTAATGCATCTCCTGCAGGGTGAAAGCGAGAGGTCACAGTGTGTGTGCTGACTAATAATGTGATGTTATCCATGTTTTTCTAACCAGCCTGCGGGGAGTTACATTGCCTCTTGTCCTCCCACTCAGGTCATGAGTTTCCCTTCAGTATCCAGATGAGTCATGTGAGACAGGCGGGGTCTCAGGGGGGGGGGAGCAGAGCGGCAGACAGACAGGTGGAGCAGATGCAGGTGTACAAGCAGTGCCAGTTCATTATGAAGCCTCGAATCAATGAAGCACCGCAGGAATCTGCAGGTGAGATCAATATCTGTTTAAAAAAGGGATGAAAATGTCGTTTTTACTCATGCATCCTTTTTTATTATGTATACAATGCTCATTTACATGAATTTCTTGCATCTATCTATCTATCTATCCTACCTACCTACCTATCTACCTACCTACCTACCTACCTACCTACCTACCTACCTACCTACCTACCTACCTACCTACCTACCTACCTACCTACCTACCTACCTACCTACCTACCTACCTACCTACCTACCTACCTACCTACCTACCTACCTACCTACCTACCTACCTACCTACCTACCCTACCTACCTACCTACCTACCTACCTACCTACCTACCTACCTACCTACCTACCTACCTACCTACCAATCAATCAATCAATCAATCAATCAATCATGATCCTCTTAATTGCTAATGCATTCTGGGATACTGTGTTCTTCTTCTCAGATTTGTCTCAGAAGCCGTTCAAAAGGAAGCGCTCTCTCATCACCTGGGCTTTCTGGAGAGGATCCTCTTCTCACCTGAACGAACTTTCCCTCGCCAGCGGGCCCCGAGGCGTTCTGTTCGGCCAATCACTGAGCTCCGTCTGCGTGGAGGACGCTCTGCCGAAACCCGTGATGGTGAGTGGGAAAAACAAGGAGTGATTTCATAGCTTGTTTATCCTTCTTTCTCACCAAGAATTGTGTTTGTTTTTAAACTTTTAAAAAACTTTTTATTACATTTTTCTGTCCCTTCTTTAGGACATGATGGCGTTCCTTTACCACGAGGGTTCGTGGACGCGGGGGATCTTCCGTCGTCCGGCTGGAGCTCGAGCCGTCCGTGAACTTCGGGACTCTTTGGACAGCGGAGAGTTTCAACTTCCTCTGACGAGAGACCACGTCTTCCTCATCGCCGGAGTCTTTAAAGTGAGACAGTTAGAGATATCATGATATCATGCTTCTGGGTTCAAATCACGAGAGTTTCATTAATGCCAGATCTGATTGAAAAGTATAATTTCATTAGTTGGTTATCTGCTGCTGGCATAATACACTGCGAAGGGAACCAATGTGGTTTACTATCAAAAAAACTATTTATCCAAGTTGTGTTTTATTGGGAATTTGTGACTTTAATCTCAGAGAATTCGAGATGTATTTCTTATAAATTAATTACTTTATTATATCTGGGAATATTTGATTATGTTCTCATAACCTGTAGGTTGTTTCTTCTATATTTACGACTTTAATCTTAAATATTCTTAGGTTTTTCTAAGGGAAAATCACCCCCTACCCCCTGCTTCGTAATTATTTGTATTATTCTTTCACCTATAATGGTGCCACCCTAACAGTATGGGTGTATGTATATATTTAAATTAAACATCAATAGACAAAATAATAAGAAAAAGCACCTTATTCTACTGGTAATAAACAATATTGAAGGATTTATTTCCTAGGTTATTTCTTCTATATTTAAATCCTATAAATTCTTAGTTTTTTGGGGGGAATCACCCCCCGCTCCGTGCTCTGTAATTCTCTTACATAAGTACATTATTTAATATCTAATGAAGCTTCATAGCAACACGTGTCATCGTAGCATCATGTTATTTGTGAGCTAATTGACCCACAACGGTAAGAACAGAAAGTAAATCCTCTCTGTGTATCGTGCAGCTACGTTAGCAGAACAGACAGCAGAGGATCTGGATTAGCTTGTTACTATAATCTGGATTATTATTATTATTATTATCTGCAGGGATAACAGAGAGCTTCTGCACACAAGGGGTCACTTATACACACATCAATCATAATCATGCATGTGAACACTTACAGTATCAACACTAGAAACTAAGGAAACGATGCATGTGTGATAAAGTGATGTTTGTTTTCAGGATTTCTTGCGCAGCATCCCAAGCAGCTTGTTGTGTTGTGAGCTGCATGAAGAGTGGATGGACGTTCTGGAGGAAGAGGAGGAGGAAGAGGAACAATTGCAGGACGTAAAGAGGTGATGTAATGTTAAAACTGTACTGTGCATTATTTAAATCTATATATATCAACTGGAAATAACACAATATCATACTATAGTAAATATATGCCCCTGATAAACATTGTCAACTTGCAACCTACTTATTTATAGAAATAGTTATCACCGCAATAAACCGTATTTAATTGTGTCTTAATGTACATTATTTCATTTCATATTCTGTTCTTGTACATATCATATTCTATTTACATGTATATAGACTTTTTGCACAATTTTGTATTTTATGATATATGTTGCATTGTTGGAGCAGCAGAAGAATTTCATTGCCATTTCGACACTGTAGCTGATGTGCTCAATAAAACCTTTGAATCTTGAATACATACATATTAACATACGACTGTTCTTTTTCTGCAGGATGATTTTACGGCTTCCCAAAGAAAACGCCCTGCTGCTACGCTACCTGTTAGCAATGCTGCGCGGTATCCAGGGCAACGCCCACGAAAACCAGATGACGAGCTTCAATTTGTCCGTGTGCATCGCTCCCAGCATGCTTTGGGCTCCAGGAGCTCCTTGCAGCCCTGAGGTGGAGGGAGAGGAAACCAAGAGGGTGAGAAAGTGGGAGGAAATATCATTTGCTAATACTTGGAGGAATTTGACCCAGACGGAGATACAGTTGGCCTTGCTATTCTGACTCGGACACCCAGGATTGTTTGAATGTTGCAACACAATTAAATCAGTCTTTGTATCACGGCTCAGAAAGTGTGTTAGCTGTGTCTGCAGGTCATACAAGCCGTAGAAAGTTGTCATCTTTAGAAGCAAAACATATAATAACGTGGTTCCTTAGAAACAATAAGGAACCACATTATTATATCTTATTACTGGCCTTGTGTCAGGACTCTACTCTACAATTTATAAAAAATAGAACATCTTGAAGTAGTAACATGGCAAAAAGCTTGTTTTAAAATATTTCGAGCACCTAATGGAGACATTTTCAAAACTACTAAGATTAAATTAGTTTCCCTTTTCAATCAATTTCCTTTTTTTGGAGAGAAGGGTGTATTCTTATGCTTTTATGTGCTATCCTAACGCTTAATTGTGTCTTGATACTCTTTAAAGTTGTGCCTTTTAATTACTACCAAAATTCTCATTATCTTCAAAACATTTCACAGAATATTTCCGTCTTCATTGCCTGAATGTCTCAGATATTTGGGGTTATAAGCAGGGCTGCACATAACTGGTACGCAGGTGCGCATGCGCACCCCAGCCAAAAAAAGAGCACCGGATCATTTGAAAAAAGACGCATTTGCGCACCAACATTGAGAGAGAGAGAGAAAAGAGAGATGAGAGAAGAGAGAGATAGAAAAGAGAGAAGAGAGAGAGAGAGATATTTGCGAGTTGCATAAGAACTGGTAAGATAGCAGGGTTTCCCACACATAGACTTTACTCGGGCCGCCCAGGTATATTAACCGCCGCCAAAGTATAATTCGCGAGCTATTTAGGTTTAATTGTTTTAATCCGTCCGCGAGCGTGACGGCATCTGCGATCCCTCGCTATCGAGTGAAGGGTCTGCTTTATGCGCTCCGCACAACGAGGCTCCGGCGAACAGTTCATGAGCGTGCTCACTAGCGCACCTCCCCCCCCCCCCCCCTCCAGTTCATAAAGTCAAGACCCCCTCAAAAGGTCCGGTTTATTTCATTTTAAGGATGCGCACCAAGCAACATCTCCAGGTGCTCCTTTGAGAACCAGGGCAAAGAAGTTATGTGCACCCCTGCTTATAAGTATCATTCACACATGGTGTTTTTGACATATATGTGTGTTAATCCCTGATTACAGTAGCATTGTTAACTCCTTTAAACCAGGTCAAGCTTACTCAAGAATGTCTCGAATCGGCTTTATAAAAAGTATTATCTTGGAACGGTTTGACTTTTTGAAAAGAGCAAACGGTTGAGGGAAATGATCTGCAGAAACACCTCGTTTTAACCTTCATTGTCGTACTCGCTGCTCAGAAATGATGCACTCTTATTGCTGGAAGAGAAGAAAGGCGGTTCAGCCAGCCTTGGAAAGTTTGAACATTGATGATAACAACATTTGTTACACTTGTTATTAATTGAACTCCAGTTGTCACACTATTGAAAGTGTTCCCTTTGTTTGCCGCAGGTTTGTGAGCTGGTGAAGTTTATGATCGAGCACTGTCAGCAGATTTTGGGGGAAGATCCGTCTTCGCTGTTCGGAGGACCGCCACAAAGACTCACTGACGAGATGGGATCAGGTACACAAACAACAGAAATATAAAAAGTAACTTCCTATAGTTAAAGGATCATCGAAAGGTTTTCAAGTTTCAAGGCTTTATTATTCAAAGTAATCGCAGACTACAAAGTAACTCACAAAGCAAGAGATCTGGGTGTAGTGATGGACTCAGACCTGGACTTTAACAGCCACATTACAACAGTTACTAGGTCTGCATATTACCACCTGAAGAATATATCAAGGATTAAAAAACTAATGTCGCAACAGGATTTAGAAAAACTTGTCCATGCTTTTATCTTCAGTAGACTCGACAGAGCTCACTAAAACATCTCTCAGAAAGCTGCAGCTGATTCAGAACGCTGCTGCTCGAGTCCTCACTGACACTAGAGTCACTCCGGTTCTGAAGTCTTTACACCGGCTTCCAGTCGGCCAAAGAATTGATTTTAAAATATTACTGCTAGTTTTTAAATCACTAAATGGCTTAGGACCGAGGTATAGACGACCTCCTCCATCACTATGAAGCATCCAGGAGTCTCAGGTCTTCTGGGTCGGGTCTGCTCTCTGTTCCGAGAATAACCACTAAACATGGAAAAGCAGCTTTTAGTTATTACGCCCCAACAATTTGGGACAAACCGCCTAAATCGAGCACGTCCGCCGAAACACTTCCTATTTTTAAAACAAAAAACGCACCTATTTGCCGCTGCTTTTAATTGAGCCCATACTCACACTACAGTATGCCTTTTAGTCATGTATTCTGTACCTGCTGTGTTTATTTATTCATTTTATTTCATTATCTTTGCTTATTATGCCTGTTTTTAATAATGTATTTATGCTGTATTTGTTCTTAAATGTCTTTTGCTTTTATTTTGTAAAGCACTTTGAATCGCCACGTGCTGAAAAGTACTATATAAATAAAATTGCCTTTCCTTATTGTAGATATGGCAATGAAAAACTGAAGTCACAGGCTCCTCCAACAGAGCAACATATATATATATATATATATATATATATATATATATATATATAGGACATAGAACAGATAAATAGTGCAAGAGAATGTTTTGAGATGTGCAAGTAAATACAAATCAAATTGAAATAGTGCAAGAAGAGTCAAGTAAATGGAATGATATATCTTTCAAAGGTTCAGGTGTTTAATAGTCTTATGGCCTGTGGAATGAAACTCAAATCGTTCCTACATCTGTCTTGTTTATGTCTTTGCATCCCTCTCTCTCTCTTCAGACTCGTGGCTTTACCCTCTGACCGACTCGTCCTACGACAGTCTGGAGAACGAGTTGGACGTCAGCAGCTCTCCGGGTTTCTGCAGCCGAGCCAAACCTCTCCAAGGCAGCCTGGACTCCATCCTCACGCTCAGCGACTGCGAGCAAGAGCCAGATTTACTGCAAACAAACATGCAGGGGCTGAAGCTACACCTGCAGGGGAGCAAGAGCAACAGGAGGAAGAAGGAGCATGCACACTTTTCAAGCTCCACTCATGACGCACAATCTCTATCTCCTCACAGACCGAGAAGATGCTCAGAGCCAGCGATTAAATACGTGGCTAAGTTTCGCCCGTGTGTCTCCAGGAGTAAGGATAAAGAAGATGAGATGGTGTTGACACTGAGGAAAACAGGTTTGGAAATTAGCTCTCCTCGCCTCCTTTCTACCACAAATTCCCTCACAGCTACACACTCCTCCCTGGACTCTCTCAACTCCGATATCAGTGACCGAACATGGGCCAAACGACGAGGGATTCACCCAAACAAGAACCATCTCCCTCCAAGCTATCCCCCTGGCTCTTCTCCCTCCTCTGTAAGCTCTGCCCTGCCCTCTAGTGGACACCCAGGCTCCCCAGCAAAAGAAGCACCAAACTGGGGCACATTAAAAGTCTGCAGGGGCCTCCATCCAAACTCTTGGCTGAAGAAAGGCCGGAAGCTGTCACTGACCCAACAAGACAACGTGGAGAAGGAGGAAGACGACAAAACTGGAGTGAGTATTGATGATATTTAGTAAAGATAGTATATATATATCAAGCCAAAGTGAAAACCTGCCAATTTAAATTGCCTTTTTTTATTGTAAATGGTAAATGGACTGTACTTATATAGCGCTTTATCCAGTCTTTAAGACCCGTCAAAGCGCTTTACATACTACATGTCATTCACCCATTCACACCCATTCATACAGAGCAGTGTACCTTACTCTAGGACCTAACATTCACACACCGTCGGCCATCGGGAGCAACTCAGGGTTAAGTATCTTGCCCAAGGATACATCGACATGTTGGCTGTACGGGCTGGGATCGAACCCACAACCTTCTGGTTGAAAGACGACCGCGCAGCCACAGTCGCCACTATAATTATATTGTTAACAAGTATATAATCTCCCAATACTACTATATATATCATGAATAATTTGATTGTCCCAATAAAGACGTTTTTATTTATGACTAACTTGATTATTTTTGCCCTCAAATTTGAATGTCAAAGCATAGCAGCTTTCCGAAGTAAACGGTTAAGGGTTAATCTCGCTTAATGATGATAAATGAGCATCACTTTCTTCCTGCAATAACTGCATATATATTCTTATTGTTACTCAGCCTGTAGTGTAAAGTAGGGCTGCTCGATTATGGCAAAAATCATAATCTCGATTATTTGGGTCAATAATTGTAATTGCGATTATTAATTGCGATTATTCATTGACTTTGATAACATCCATTTATTCTACTTTAAAACAAATACAAATAATAATTTGAACTTTTTAACTGTTGAGTTATACGTTCAGGGTAATCAACTGAAAAACCAATATAAAATAAATTATACATTCATGTCTACATTTAAATAAATAATATCAAAATAATAAATACCAATGAACAAGGTCAACAGACATGTTGCAGTGCACTGTCACAACCTGAACACTCCTTAACATATAGCCAACATTTTGGTTCCACACATTCCACTCACTCCACTGGGTCAATAATTGATATCACGATTATTAAAAACGATTATCCATTTACTTTGAAAACATCAATTTATTGGAGAAAAAACATTTGAACAGTATCGTTTTATTTCGATGACGTTGTTTTCGTAATCGTTGCAAGCCATAATCGTAATCGCGATTAAAATACGATTAATTGAGCATCCCTAGTGTAAAGGCAGTCTGGGCACACACCGTGACTTAAACTGGAACTTCACTTTGCTTTTTTTAACGAAAGAACGACCATCATTTGAGTTTTAATTCACACTTAATGTCACTGCAATAAGAAGTGAATAGAAACTAAAATGTCATTCTGTGTTTTCTACCAAACAGGCTGGACTTACTGGGAAAGCTGCACCAGAGAAAGGAAAAGCGGGGGAAAAGGGAGGAAGAAAACTGATCTCAATCAGCCATCCCATGCCCATATCATCCTCTAAAGATGCAGGAGGAGGAGGAAGAGGAGGAGGAAGAGGAGGCCATGTGAAGGGGAGACAACCAACACATCACCGCTCCACAGGGAGTCTTCAAATCCCCACAAATTCCCTGTGGATCCACTCCTCAGACTCCCCTGCAGAGAGTGAAATGAAGCCTCCATCGCCGTCTTTATTCTTCAAGCATAGCAGGCCTTCTTTGTCGCTGTTCAAGCAACACAAGTCTCAATCCGTGGGAGAAGGATGCGACGCCATGCTCCAAAAGCGACGAGGGTCTGAACCTGGGCGAGTGCTCGTGGATCGATCTTCCACTTTCACACGAGCACGACTTCCCAGCGACCCAGGACTCAAAATCTCCCATGTGGATTCACCACAGTCCCATTTCTGCCTCTCCCCATGTGAAACCAAGACAGTGAGGGACTACTTTTCCTCTCACCCGCGCAGTAATCCCCAAAGCGGCCAGCAGGTGGCGCTCGCCCTCATGGAGAATCGCAGGGAGTGGTTGAGGAGATGCAGCGATCCTTCATCCGCCGAACCAGACTTTGAGAAGCTGCTATTCGCTGAAGAGTCTTATGTGTGATCTTGATTTGATGCAACAAGGAAATAAACGAGACGTCACTGCTGTGGTTAGATGTGATATTCCGCACCTTAAATGCATGACTGCTTTTGGTGTATGCCTTCAACACTTTAATTAGTTTGCTTAGGTAAAACAAACACGGCTTAAGTACATTTTAAACTTTGCCTAGTGCTTAATGCCAGACAGGGAACACGCTTAATGCAGAAACAACATTTATTTGTATTGAAATAATACTTGAATTCTAGTCCAAACTGGTGGATCGTTGATGCGTAATTGTGTTGGTATATCAGGCCAAAGGAAAAACCTGCCAATTTAAATTACTTGGTGTAGCCTTTTTTTTTAAATTGTAAACAAGTATATCATCTCCTATTAATAATGAATCATTGGGTTACCCCAATAAAGACGTTTTTATTTATAACTTACTTGATTATTTTTGCCCTCAAATTTAAATGTCGAAGCATGGCAGCTTTCAGAAGTACACTTAATAGATGGTTAAGGGTTACACTTGCTTTATGACGCTAAATGAGCATCACTTTCTTCCTGCAATAACTATATATATATATATAACTATATATATAACTATATATTTATATATATATATATATATATAACTATATATATATTATATATATATATATATAGTTATATATATATATATAGTTAAATATATATATTTATATATATATATATATAACTATATATATAACTATATATATAGATATATATATATAACTATATATATAACTATATATATAGATATATAACTATATATATAGTCATCTAATTAATTAGAGGCCGGGACTCGATTAAAAAAATTAATCTAATTAATTAGAGGCTTTGTAATTAATTAATCGAAATTAATCGCATTTTTAATCGCATATACATATTTGACCTAAGAACAGTGAGAAGCAATTTTTTTTCACATGGATTTTAGTATACCATTAGGCGCATTCACACCGCAGTACTTTTCCCACAAAGGTTCATGAGAACTTAGTTCATGAGAACTCTTTGAACCTGGGGGAGGATTAGGCAAATGAAGCCGCTGACGTCACTTCTTCTTCTTCTGCTTTGGGTTTACTGGCAGGCCGCAAACCACTTCACGGCGTATACTGCCGCCCAAAGTCCCCGGCCGGAAGTCCCCGGAGTTGGGGAAGGCTTCAGTAGAAGCTGCTGGGACTCCCAGCAGCTTCTACTGAAGCCTTCCTAGTAAATCGCCAGAACGCCGACACCTCCTCATCTCCACCGCTCCCATGTTTTATTTTGTGTTGCCATAAGTTAGTCTCTCTGCGTTTCTGCGCTGGGCTAATGCTAATAATGCTAATGCTAATAATGCTAATGCGAGGATAATAAAATGGCGGCTTCACAAAACTTTTTGGGAGTTTTACGGGGCGTGGTTTGCAATCCGCCCAGCCAATCAGAAATATAGCTCTTTTCTCACAAGAGAGCCGCACGAAAGTCCCTGCTCTCTAGCAGCTCTCTGCTCTCTAGCAGGGACTTTCGTGGGGGTAAAAAGGTTCTCATGAACTAATTTTAGTACCGGCTCTTTTTGGTGTGAACGCGATTAAAGAGGCTAACGTCCACGCTAGCTTCCACGCTAGCTGCTATATGTTTTGCATTGAGGTGATACTTGAGGCTTGATGTGCTGCGGTGATATGCGAATTCCTTTTTGCATAATTTGCACACAACTGTGCTCTTATCGACGCTTCCATCCGTCCGTTTTTTAAAACAACATTTCCCACTGTTGTTCACTGTGGTTTGTTGTCTGAAGTCATGAACGTTAGTTGGTGCTCCAGTATAATCGGTACGCCTGAAACTCATCCAGTGAGAAACGTTCCGCGGTGCAAAAATAAGTGCGATTAAAATGCGTTAATTTTTTTAACGCGTTAATTTTTATGTAATTAATTAATCTTAATTAACGCGTTAAAGTCCCGGCCCTAATATATATATATATATAGTTATATATATAGTTATATATATATATATAGTTATATATATAACTATAGTTATATATATAACTATATATATATATATATATAACTATATATATAACTATATATATATATATATAAACTATATATATATATATAACTATATATATATATATATATAACTATATATATATATATATATATAACTATATATATATATATATAACTATATATATATATATATATATAACTATATATATATATATAGAGAGAGAGAGATTCTTATTTTTACTCAGCCTGTAGTGTAAAGGCAGTCTGGGCACACATGTGACTTAAACTAGAACTTCACTTTGCTTTGTTTTAACGAAGGAACGGCCCTTAAAGGTGGGGTAGGTAAGTTTGAGAAACCGGCTCGAGATACACTTGTTGTTATATTCCATGGAATGCTCTTAACATCCCGATAGCAATGAATATCTGAAGTGCTTTGACAAAAAATACATAAAGAAATATCATCAGTGGAAGCCGTGGCGCTGTAAAAAGCACGACCAATCATCTGAGCCGGCTAAAGTAACTGGATGGCCTACCTGCCTGTCAGCCTTCCATCTGGGCACAAACTTATCTCGTGCCCTCATTGGTCATGTGCGCGTTCGTGTGTGTTGGAGGAGGGGCTCTGTGAGGAAGGGGCAGATTTCTTCCGGCTGTGCATTTTCAAATTCTAGCGCACTCGAGCTGGTTTCTCCAAAATTACCTACCCCACCTTTAATGTCACTGTTAGTATCTAAACTGTAATCAAATGTGCTTCAGATGTACACACGTACTGGTAGATTAAGGTCATGTGATTATCCACTAGTTACAGTTTTAATTAACATCTGAAGAACTGTGTGATCTACTGACATTCGTCTCTGCTCTTTAAATATTTGGTTATTAATGGCATACACTATGTTTTACCCACACCTCAAATGCTTCTTGCATTAGCGCTTAAATGGCATGTTTTTCTGCGCAACTATGCAGCATTACACTTTTTAGGTGTGACCGTTGTTTCACTTTGTTGCCTACTGTTCATTTTCTATGCACGCGTCGCCTGTTTGCATTGATCACATGCATCTTTTTACCATGTCTTTATGATGTAAATATGATCCCTAATAGGCCACAAGGCTGCTGCTTTATTATCTTCTCTCTGCCTCATTTCTATATTCTTACGCTGTGATAACAATCCTAAAAACCTGCATTTGCAAATAAAATGACCGTGCAATAAAGTTTAAGAGGTGATTGTTTTTATTACATTATTGTTCACTCTTCAGCTTACTAAGATAGGCCTTGAATCTTGACAATAAAACCTTTGAAACTGAGTACATTTGAATGCATACTTGCTCGATGTAAGCTTTGCGGTTATGAGCTCAATTCTCATAAGGAAATGTGACTTTGTTTGGGCTGAACACCTACATTAATGAGTTTCTTATTGCATACTAGTTGTATTTATGTGACACTGCCTGTCAGATGGATTAGCTCTCACCGTGTGCAATATGTTTATCAATGTATTGTTAGAGCCAACACCCAAAGAGAAGGAATCAAAAGATCTAACAGACATTATGAAAGCATATCTGACCATATAGAGTGATACATGTTGGGTTAGAAGATCTGAGGTTGTAGGTTCAATTCTTGTTAGGTGCACTACATTTACAAGTCAAATGTCCAAAAAAGTAGAAGACAAAACCTCTAGACAACTGAGATGTGTTTAGGTGCGACAGCTCAGAGTGATACGAGTCTGGTTAGAAGATCTGAGGTTGTGCAGTAACTTCATACGTCCAATTTCCCACAGAAGAAGTACAACTGTGAAGTGTGTTCAGTCATGTAGCTCAGAGTGGAAGATGTGTGTTCGGTTCCTACTTGTTACCATCATGTAAAAACCCCTGACTCACTAACCATGTTTGTTCCTGTGTGAATCCAGAGCCTTAATGTTACTGCTCAGTGTTTGCTGACTGTTGAACATGAATGTAATTATCCGCTGTTTTGATTGTCATGAACGGGAGTGTGTTTCTGCAGTGGCTGTAACTGAATGTACACGCTGTGAGCATAATGTGTTCAGCCAATTACTGTGTACACTTAACGGTATAATATGTAACATTAAAATGTCTAAGTACTCGTTATGCAGAATGGATATGTTCACAGTATTATATTTATCATATATAAAACATCGTAAATGTAATTACTTTTCACTGCCTTTCGATTTTTTGACCAAGGTACATTTGGCGATCTATCCACTTTACGCATGCGTCAGCGTTGCATGACAATTGTCTTGTATCCCTTTTTAATCCACAGTTTTGCTGCAGAATTGCACTATATAATAGTTTACCTATATGTTGTTTACATGTGACGCGTTCAGCAGCTGCTGCCTCTCTGCAGGAAGGAGTCACTCTGCAGAAAACCACCCGGAAGTCTCATCGTGCAGAGAAGCAGCACGGCACCATCTATGCATAGCACCGGTGTGAAATAACTTGTTGACGTTTTCCCTTCACTACAAACAACCTGCGCATTCTGCTATCCCGTCAACATTGGTAAGTAAATACTGTTAGTAGACAGTGTTGTTGTTTTACGCGTGGGTCAGGTTTACTCACAGCATTCATCAGAAAGGTCTGAATGTGTTGTTTTGACGATCCACTTCCGTGTTTACAACCTCACAATAGCGAAGCGTAAACAGTACATTGATATTGTATTTATATAGTTTAATGTTTACCTTTATGTTTCTCATTTGAACAGCTCTCTGTGTTTGTTGTCCTGAATACTAAGATAATGTGAATCTCCTGTGGTGCATCAGTCTCCTGAATGTGTTCAGAAAGGGATTTATTTTTAACACTTTTAGTAACATCTATAAAGCTACTTGTTGAAATACACGAGATTCATTATCTACTATTTTCTGACAAGTATTTTTGACAAATGTAAAGCTGTTTTATCAAATCACTCAAACCAGTGGTGGAGGAGGTTTTTTTGGACCCTTTACATTACATTTCATTTAGCTGACACTTTTATCCAAAGCGACTTACAATAAGTGCATTCGACCAAGAAGACACAACCTTGAAGAAAACAGAATCATAAAGTACATCAGGTACTTTAGATAAGCCAGTCCTTTATTAGTATATAAGTGCTTTGTTAATAGTTCTATCGCTCGAAGTGGAGTCGAAAGAGATGAGTTTTCAGTCTGGAAGGTATGTAAGCTATCTGCTGTCCTGATGTCAATGGGGAGCTCATTCCACCATCTTGGATCCAGGATAACAAACCCACATGTTTTTGCTGATGGGAACTTGGGTCCCCCTCGCAGCGAGGGTGCAGCGAGCCGTTTGGTTGATGCAGAGCGGAGTGCACGTGCTGGGGTGTACGGTTTAACCATGTCCTGGATGTAGGAAGGGCCAGATCCATTCGCAGCATGGTACGCAAGTACCAGTGTCTTTAAGTGGATTCTAGCAGTTACCGGGAGCCAGTGAAGGGAGCGGAGTGGTGTGGGAGAATTTAGGAAGGTTGAAGACCAGACGAGCCGCTGCATTCTGGGTGAGCTGCAGAGGTTGGATGGCACATGCAGGTAGACCAGCCAGGAGGGAGTTGCAGTAGTCTAGGC